CCCTGAATTTCTTCTTTATAAGAATCTGCATATTTGAAGGTTAGAGTGTATATTCATTTTGGATTTAGAGAGATATTTTTACATAGTGTATAGTTACTTCTGTGTATAATTGTTACCACCTTCAGGAATATCCCTTCTATCTCACTCTCTGGGCAAAGTCATGCCCTATTGTAACATGAAAGAGTGATACAACTTGATTAGAGATATCAGTATATTCCAGGAGGCCTGGCACCTGAAGTACATAGGTAATAGTGGGGAAACACAGTTTGAAATATACAGAGCCAGAAACTACTCTATGGAAAATTCTTCCACTCAGTAGGTGTTAAAATTGTAGGCAGAGGATTTGGTTCTCATTAAGCCTTATCAAAAAGGAAAATCTCTCTTGGTAGGATATATTCAATATGCAATGTATACAATTATAAATGTACCATATAGTCTTAGAAAATCCTGATGGAAATCATGCAACTAGAATTTATCAGAATTCTTCCATTTGTAGTACACAAACCTATAGCAATTATAATTATTATAAATATTAACTATTTTAGTAGACTTTGTTATTTTCTTTTAGATCAGATTTAGGTTCACAACAAAATGGAATGGAAGATACAGAGATTTCTCATATAATTTCTTCCCCCACTCATGCATAGCCTCTCCCATTATCAGTATCCCCCATAGAGTGGTACCTTTGTCACAACGGATGACCCTACATTGACACATCGTTATCGCCCGAAGTCCATAGCAAATATTAACTTTTGTACCTAATTTTATAATCATAATTTTATATTCTTTTTCCTAATTAGGGTCTCCCCCATTTTATATGCTTTAGGACCCACAAATATTTGTTTTTCAACAAGATGATTTAAGTTTTTCCTGAAGTTCTAATCTCTACTGAGAATTTTTTTCCTTCTTAATCAAATACATACATTTGAAATTTGCCCAAAGTGAACTCTTCTGTTTATGTATGGCCATTCTTCCAAGCTGTATTTCCATCTCGGTGGGAAATCTCATCAAGAACTGTTTTACGCCTTAGAGGGCAATGTCAATCATTATTATTATTTTTTAAATAAAGCACATTTGGGTATGTTGGTAATTAATTCACAAAAGAATGACCTGAGTTTCTTGAGATATCATTGACAACTGGTTTTAGTAAAATAAATTCTCAGTTTTGTAATCACAAAAGTAGGGATGGAATAAGGACAATGTTGACAAGTCCAACATACTCATGAAAAAAGAACCGAAATACAGACCTACTCCCAATACTTATGAAAGGCCACTGCCCTCAATTCCTCTTTTAAAATTGTTTTCATGGGGCACCTGGGTGGCTCAGTGGGTTAAGCATCTGCCTTCAGCTCAGGTCATGGTCCTGGAGTCCTGGGATCAAGCCCCAGGTCTGGCTCCCTGCTCAGTGGGGAGTGTGCTTCTCCCTCTGTCCCTCTCTATTGCTCATGCTCTCTCTCACTCATGCTTTCTCTCCCTCGAATAAATAAATAAAATCTTTTTCAAAATTTGTTTTCATGGTTCTGGAGTTGAGCATAATCAAGTCCCAACATCTTTCCAACCCATACCTCCCTTCATATTCTCTCCAAGTGTAAGACTGGGGTTTCATTGCATCCTGAGGTTATTACAGGGGTAGGGAATGAAAGAATTAAAATGGTTTGATGTCTTTTATCTACTCAAAGTTCCAACATGTAGGTCATGATCTGAAATTTTAACTGTAATAATGGCATGGAAGCTTTTTGTAAATCATAAGTCTTGTACAGATTTTACTTTGTTGATTACAAAGTTTAATGTAATGTTTAATGATTTGTCATTACTATGGGGGGAACTCTTCATCTCTGTTAAGGACAAATAAAAAAGAATTGGTTAATTTGTCTTAGAAGAGATTTAGCTCTTTTAAAAATTTTTATTTGTTTTAGAGAGAGAGCATGTGTGCAGGGGGAGGGGCAGAGGGAGAGACTCTGAAGCAGACTCTCCACTGAGCATCGAGCCCCATTTGGGTCAATCTCATGACCCTGAGATCGTGAGCCTGAAATCATGAGTTGGAATCAAGAGTCTGACACTTAACAGACTGAGCCACTTAGGCACCTGAGATTTAGCTCTTAATGAAGGAAAATCTTAAGTCTGAAATGAAGTAATAAGGGGTTTAATATTAAGGATGATTTTTGAGGCTTTGGCAGTGAAGGTTATTGTAGGGTGGGGGGAGAGAGAAAAGACTAGAAATAATTGCATGTCCCTGCCTAATTAATTCGGGTCTTTCCAGTCTCTTTGAGGCTAATTCCATTAACCGGGAAATTAAATAACATTGATTATGGCCACACAAATGTATTTTGCGATGTATAAATGTAAGTCAACACCAGCAGTATGGGGATGATTTGGAATGAAGGACAGATTTGCTCTAAGGAAAGAGTAAATTATTAAGAAGAACCTAAAAACAGTCAGGCTTTCTATACTTGAGAGGAATGATCTACCTAGCAACTGTAATGAAGATGATTAAAACATTAAAGACACATAGACAATACAAAAATGCCCTTTAAGACATGTTGTTAGATTAAGAACAAAATGTGTTTGTAGATCTAGTTCTACCATATTCACTTACTATTACTAAATATTTCATTAAAAGGCTCTCTTAAAAGAAACTATTGTGTTAATTTAAAAATATCACTGAATCAGAAATTGTGATTAATTAAAGGTATGGTTCAGATTTGCTTTGAGAATATTTGGGTGATCCGAGTTTATTTATGTGCAGTAACATTAAGTTCTAGGATAAAATGTCTTTCTATTCTTAAAAATAGAAGATACCTATGAAAAGAGAGGAGCCAAAATACAGACCTGCTCCCAATACGAAAGGACAAACTATAGCCCTCAATCCCTCTTTAAATTTATTTTCATGATTTCAGAGTTGAGCCTAATCAAGCCCTAATATCTTTCCAACAGCTCCTTTCACATTCTTTTTTTAAAAATTTTTTTTCCGTTCACATTCTTTAATCTGCTTAAAAAATCATGTTTTAGATTGCTTTAGAATTTAGCAAATAAATATGATTTGTTCAAAATATTTCATGGTTCATAAGCCCCTCTTATGCATGATCCCAAAGCTGCAGTGAAAAGATTATTCCTGCAGGAAAAAAGTCAGAAGAATATTTATCATCAATAATTTATATTGTCACAAGGTTATAAAACTGATGTATTACCTTTGCACAAATGCTGAGTAAATGTATAATCAGAGTAATAAAAAATAACCTGTTCAGCATTGTTAAAACCTGGGACAACTTAATAACAAATTCAACATAAACAAAAGAAACTTCAGGAACCTACCCACTTCAGCTGAGCCAATTTTATGGCTAATTTGTTTCTGGAACAAGGCAAATTGTTCTCTGCATATCTGCGTTTGGGTAATCAGACTGCCATGCTGACTTCATAGTTCAAGCCTCTTCTCCTCACTTCTCTCTTATTTTTTCACCTCTAATACAGCTTTTGAAAACTTCACATTAGAAGAAGGTAAGGAGGGAAATGCAGAGAAGACGATTTTTAAAAATTTTCTTTCAAAATCGGTAGGAGACTTGAAAGTGAAGAGACAATACATGTGAACATAATCCATTATGAAGAAAAGCTTTACCGATTATGATAAATGCTAGTTTTGAGGACACAAAATAAATGACACGTGACCAGATTTCTCTTCCAACAACGGAAGGCATATTGAAAGGAAGTTAGTAAATAGACTGTAGTCTTAAAACATGTTTTAAAAAATAGTGTAATGTGTGGTATTGGCTTATTACATTTTTCTAAGCATTTTCACTATAATTCCCTTTAATCTTCACAACCACTCTGTGAGTTAGGTCGGGTGGGTCTTTCCTTTTGATCCAGAGCGGGGAGATGGAGACACGGGAATAGACGTCAGGCAGGACTGCAGTGGACCATGAGGGTCATTCCCAGATTAGGACATCAGTTCTCTCTCTCCCAGTTCACCTGACTCTGGCCCTTGGGACCTCAGACGCAGCCAAGTGAGAGGTTCCTGCTTCCCAATCCATCCTTTTCAGAGCACCGATCATACCCACACCTTGCAAGGAGAGCCAGCTGCGCTGCGGGAAATGTTAAGGTCCATGACGAGGTGGTGGCTAAGGGCACTGGCTTTGTGGCGTCTGAGTGATCTGGGTTGGAATCCCCAGACTTTTCTTTACTGTGCATGACTTTAGCCAACCTCTCTGAGCCTCAATTTCCTCATCTGGAGATAGAGCATGCTTTGATTTATTCCAAGGGGTTTACTGACGATTAAATGAAATAAAGCAATAAAGGTCTTCGCCTACGGCCTGGATCGAAGAAAACGCTGGTGATCTGGGACGGGGTAGATCATCTCTATCCGATTGCGTAATCTGCATCTGCAAAATGGGCGCAGTGTAGATCGCAATCTAGTAGCAAACCCTACTTTGCAAACAAACCACAACAACCACCCCCCCAACTCCCTGTGCCGCCCAATTCTGAATAACCCTTGTTTTCAAAATGTGGGAACTGGAAGAACGGATCTGGAACCTAAAGAAATGTTATTATCAACGGGGGAATTTATAAGCGAGAGGGCGGAAAGGGTGAGGTAAGGATGAGAGAAGGGAAAGACAACGCAGCCTCAGCTCTGCTCGGAAAAGCTGCGGCTCCAGGAGCATCCAGGTGAACCACGCGCACCCACTGTTCCGCGGGTCTTTGCCGGGACCCCCTAAAATGAAGCCCCGAAACCCCTGTTGGGACTCTGGGAAAAGAGGGGGAGGAGAAAAGGCGGGGAGAACCGGAGAACGCTCTGGCTAGGGGCGGGGCTCTAGGGGGAGGATCTACAGGAGTGCGAGGGGGAGGGGCTATAGCTTGGGGGCGGGTTCAAGGGCGGGACCTCGCCGAGTTCCACGGCTGCGCGAGCCACGTCTGCCTTAGCGAGAGTGTTGGGGAGAGGCAGAGGGAGGGAAAAACCGAGCGGGGCGGGAACTGTCTCTTCTCGCGAGAGCTGGCGACGGCAGCGGCGGTGGCGGCGGCGTGTCCGTGAGAGTAGCGTGGGGGCGGGGAGGAGAGGCGGCGGTAGCGTCCGAGCTACGCCACACAGGGCCGGGGTGCTGGGTGCTGAAGCGCAGAGCGGGGTCGTGGCGGCGGTGGTAAGAGGAGAGAGGCGGAGGGGGGGGGTGCCATGGCAGGACAGCAGTTCCAGTACGATGACAGCGGGAACACCTTCTTCTACTTCCTCACCTCCTTCGTGGGGCTCATCGTGATCCCGGCCACATACTACCTCTGGCCCCGAGACCAGAATGCCGGTGAGTCTTGCCGGCAGCTACCCCCGGACCAGTGCAGGCCCCGCCAGCCCCTTTGGGCCGCGCCGCCCCCGCCCAGCCCAACCCAGCCCCCCAGCGTCGGGGTGATCCAGCCAGCCCGGCCGAGCTTCGCGTCCGAGGCGTCCGCCGCTGGCGGGGCCCGGGCTCGGCGGTGTTTCCCTCGGTTCCTCTCGGGGCCCCTCTCCATCCCCGTTTTATTGTCTTTTCAGGAGTTTCGCTTCGCCCCCTCTCACCCATTGTTCTGGGCGCTCCTTGCAGCCTCCTCCTGCCTCTTTGTCTTCTCTGCCTCTGATTTTATTGGTTATTTTTCTATATGGAGGGAGCAGGATGGGTTGGGGAGAATGGGGATTGGGAGGTGAGAGAAGAGTTGGCAAAGGAGAAAGCCGAACGTGCAGGCGCAACTGTGAGCCCCTTAGCCACGGTCCTCTTCCCTCACACCCCCGTTTCCCTGTTGCAGCTGTCGTTACAGATGTTTTGGGCACCGTCTGAGCCGGGTGGCATGCTTCGGACTCCCAGCTGAGCTCACCAGCCGCCCCTCCCCCGTCCCTGTCCCCTGTTGCTTTTTCATTTGTTCACTAACACTGTGGGGTTGGAAGCAGTGCCGTTATTCCCCTTAGCAAAAATAGGCTGTTCTCTATTTCCTTTTCTTTGGAGTTTCCTGTTTATGGCGGAAAAAGTGCAAGTATGAAGGATTAAGTCGAGTAAGTAGTTGTGAGGTAGCTGGTCCATTCGCTTTTAGTTCTAAATCTTTTCACGTTAAACACATGGGATTAGAGCACCAAATAACATAGATTCTATTCGAGGCATTTTATGTTGCGCTGTACTAGGATATATGACAAGTGATATTCTTAAATCTAAGGGAACTGCCAGGCCCTAATAGCTTATTTAACAGTAACCAGGAGGTTTTGAGTGTTAACATTTAGGGAAAGCTTTCTGTTTCACAGGAGGTATGCTAACTTGATTAAACATCATATTTGAAGTTGGGTGTGGTGGAAGTCTAGGTTGTCCAGCTTATATACTCTGTTTGGGGAGATTGTTAACAGGGAGGCATTGAATCAGCTCAGAACTTGTTATGCTTTAAGACTGGCTCAAAAATTCTGTAAAATTCTTGAGTTACATAATGGAATTAAATTGAATTTAGGATAAGTAACAAAGGATTCCTTTTTTTTTCTTTTAAAGTACATTCGATTGTAAGTTTAAATATCCAGTAGATGCAGAAATCTGCCCAAAGTTGCCAGTTTTCTTATTCAGTGGATAGTTTATGAAAATTGGATTTTGGACTCTTGTGCCTTCTTTTCCTAAGTGCATTTAAATTGTCTGGTTTCTTTGGACAGTGGTTGTAGATAGATGATTAAGTCTTAATATTGTAATGGTTTCCCTTATCTACAAAACCTAGGCCATTCTAATAATTTTGAGTTAAAAATGCACTTTTCAGTAAAGTAGTTTATTTGCACTTAACCCTTTGTGTGTGCATCTGGTTGTGTGGAAGACAAAAGGATATTGGGAGAGCAGGTAGGTTTTGTTAGAATGTGTTTCTAGAAGCCATTTCAGAAATTAGTCATTTTAACCTACACTGGGATTTTAAACTTTGAAAGTTCTATTTTTGTAGTGGGTTTTGTATTATAAAATTTGCCTGATAACTTATCGGCAAGTTATACTTGAGCTCCTTCAGCATATAGTCCATCTTTGGAAAAGTTGTAGGGAATTAATAGTGACTATAAGTTATAGCCTTCAAATATCACTTTATTTAATCCTCTTAAAACACACTGAAGTAGGTACTATTATTATCTCTATCCTTATGTGAAGAAACTCGAGTTTAGAGAGCATTCTCTAACTTTCTCCTTCGTGGGAGAGCCTGATCTGCTTGGCTTTAAGGTCTTGTGTTGTCTCCTTATTGCTAGATAGAAAGGTGCTGATTTGCCCCTACTTTACATCTGGCTTCAGGCTTGCCTTAGTAAATGTGTACGTGTTGATGTATTTGTTTGGTCTTGCTCCCAATTGTGCTGTGAAAATTAAGGTGGATACTTAAATGCTATTCTAATCATCATGAAAATTGGTGGACACCACTTGGACTATTTTTGTGTATCTACCATAAATGAGTTGTTTTTTTAGGATTACAGTGCTATTAAAAGGATTTTTTTGTCATAATGACTTCTTTCTGAAGTTCAGTTTGCAATGTCTTGAATAAAGAGAGAAATCTTAAAAGTAATAGGTTCACCCAAAGCTCTGAAAAAGAAAGTATTTTTTTCAGGTGTTTGCAGCAAAATCGTATAGTGACTTGTATCAACAGGAGGCTACTTAAAATCTTGATTCTTCTCACTTAGAAAATAGTTATTAACATGGCTGCTAATTTGGAATATTAATTTGTTTGATTATTGGTGCTATTTTAGACCCTCAAGGGCTTGTAAAGGTGGAGACATTGTAATGTCTTTCTGAAATCTTAAAAATTCTAAATTATTTCCTCAAGGGTATTGAATAAAGGATGTGGACTTATAGTAGTGTTTTTGATTAACACAATGGGATATTTTAATATTTGATTTGAAGCTTATTTCATTTTCCTGTGAAACTGTAACCAAATACAAAAATGTAGGCATAGGAGTTTGAATTTCAGAGTTCTTATGGCAATCTTGACTTTTTAGAGATACTCTCTGCAGGAAAGCACGAAAAGGGTTTTTTGCTAGTAAGTATACATTTTTAAAGTTCAGTGTAAGCAATCTTTGTTTAGTTTTTTAAAATGGTGATACATGTGGGTTTTTTTTTTTTTTCTTCTTTTGGGATTTTATTTATTTATTTGACAAAGACACAGCAAGAGAGGGAACACAAGCAGGGGGAATGAGAGAGAGAAGCAGGCTTCTCACTGAGCAGGAAGCCCAGTGCGGGGCTTGATGTGGGGCTCTATGTAGGGCTCCATGGGGTGCTCAGTCCCAGGGCCCTGGAATTATGACCTGAGCCCAAGGCAGACGCTTAACGACTCAGCCATCCAGGCAGGTGCTCCTCATGTGGGTCTTTTAGTTTCAAGGTTTAGTTATTTCAGTGTTGCTCTTCTAGAATTATTGGGCTCTTGAGTCCGTTAGAAAGCATGGCACCATTTCACAGATGGTAAAATCTAGGGTTTGAGAAAGAGAAGTAGCTTGGTCATTGGCATATTTGATATGTTAATTGAAGTTACTCTATTATCCTGAACACTAATGGAATCATTTTGCCTAGATTTTTGTCTAATCTACCTGGCCAAGTGCACTTAAAATTAATACACCTTTTAGTAGTTGAGGGGCCCTATTTATCTTACTCTCCTGGTTGTTTGCAAATTGGCTGAATAAGTTGACTGAATACTTTTTCAGACCATTATGGACAAAAGCTCTGGATGAAGTAAAAACAGAGGGTTTAGATTTCTTTAAAACTGGTACTCAACCCTGGCTCCACATTAGAATCACTCGGGGAGCTTTTAGAAAAGCTTTTACCCACCCCCCAGATATTCTGATTTATTTGGTCTGGAGTGGGTGCCATGTTTTTGGTGTTTTTTTTGTTTTGTTTTGTTTTTTAAAGATTATTTATTTATTTATTTGACAGAGAAATCACAAGTAGGCAGAAGAAGGCAGAGAGGCAGGGAGAAGCAGGCTCCCTGCTGAGTAGAGAGCCTGATGTGGGGCTTGATCCCAGGACCCTGGGATCATGACCTGAGCCGAAGGCAGGGGCTTAACCCACGGAGCCACCCAGGTGTCCCCATGTATTGGTTTTTTAAAAGGTACCTATGTGATTGTAAATTGTAGCTAGCAAAGATAACTCCCTTGGTAGTGGTCTTTTGCTGGAGTTGTCATTTTGGGAGATGGTGAATTTTTATATGTGCTCTTTCTTAAAAACAAAAATCACTAATGCCTTAGCCTTTTTGTTTTATATAGTTAAGAAGCACTTATTGTAGAAAAGTTCTCTAAAGTTCTTGTAGTTGAAAGCCAAATATATTTGTTAAAACAACGTTAATAATATAAGTTTACAATGGTATTGGACAAGAGAAAACTGCTTGTAATTATTAGAACTTCAAATAATCAAGAACATGCTTTTATTTGTTCCATAGGTGAAGGTCTATTGATCCTTTGAATTGAGATAAATTATATCATTACTTTTTCCAACTTCTTGTTTTTTTAACTCCTTAACCTTATTTTTTTTTTTAAACTTCTTTGACCTTACCCCTTATTTTACTTTTTCAAAACTGCCTGGTTTTGAAACCTGTCTAGATGTGCTGCTTTACTAACAGTGTGATCTTAGGTGGGTTATTTAACTTCTGTGTTTTTGGTTTACTCATCTATAAAATAGAGACAATGGGTTATTTGTTTAATAGAATTAAAATGAGAATTAAACAAATAGATATACTGTACTCAGGTTTTTTTCCCCATGGTTTGAAAGAATTTATGAAACTTAAAAAAAAAAGTTACATTTCTTTATTCTTTGCTTGTTCCCCTCTCAAACATTGATTCAGCTGTCCCCTCTCAGTGATGCAGCTCCTTGACTGGGGAATGTGAGTAGGAGTCCACTTTTAGTGCTTAGTAGTGTGGTAAGAAAACTCTGAATTTGGGAGTCAGAAGTTTTGGTTTTAAGTTCCAGCCTAGTCCCTATTTTGTTATTTCTAAATTCGGTCTCATTTTCTACAAATAATAATAATGATATGGCCTATAAGAAGTGATTATGAGAAGTAAAGCAATAAATGTTATCTAAACGTGCTTGCAGGGGCACCTGGGTGGCTCAGTGGGTTAAAGCCTCTGCCTTCAGCTCAGGTCATGATCCCAGGGTCCTGGGATCGAGCCCCGCATCAGGCTCTGCTCGGCATGGAGCCTGCTTCCCCCTCTCTCTCTGCCTGTTTCTCTGCCTACTTGTGATCTCTGTCTGTCAAATAAATAAATAAAATCTTTAAAAAAAAAAAAAAAGCTTGCAAAATCAAACACATTGTAGAAATTCCTTCATTTAGTAGATGTTTATAGAGCATGAATTTT